GTTTTACAACTTCTTGCCCCTCAGAGCTCATGGCACACCCCCTCCCGACTCCCCACTCGACCAGCACCTTGCCACCACGGTCGTTTCTATGTATAGTGTTTGATACTGAGACCAGTTGACACACTTCGCTCACCACCTTCCCTTCAAGAATGGCCGACGGAAGGTGAGGGGGCGAATGGTCAGAAAACGGTAAATGTTCTACTGTTGTTTATTCCGGCTTATTTTTTGACGTTTTGTCAAAACCCGCCAGACCGAGCCCTTTTCCTGCAACTACGACCCCTTCAATTCCAAAAAAGACCTCTTCAGTTTTTAGACTATCTTAACCTCGATTACGACTGACATTACAGGAATCGCAAATACAACCCCTGTGCCGAACAGACGGTTGACCCTGAATATCACTATAGAGTGGATGGCCTCTGCGTCCGATCCTCCCCCCCCCCTTAGTATCTTTAAGATCTCATCCCTAAATAAATGGTGGCTGCTCTTGAAAAACGGAACTATTAAACCGAGCGCAAAAGCGTGGCTCAAGCCTAATCTGCTTGAGCAGGCTTTCAAACGTCTCCACAACCCTGAGTGGAATTGATTGCGTGGCTCATGCCAACGTCGTCGGTCAACACCACAAATTTTCATCCCCATCCCCAGCAATTCTCAATATAATCTCTCTCTGTCTCAACAATAAGCTAATCCACAATACCACCATTTAATGTTCAGGGATGCTGGTGCTGTTCGAACTGGCCCTGCTATTCGGGCATTCGTTCGGCTTCTTCTTCCCGATGGGCGGCAGCAATGGGTGTCAGTGTGTTAAGAGCATGTCCGACGCCTGTTACTTGCGCTCCAACACCCACCTGTGCCATTCCTCTGCCTTGTCCTTCTCAGGTCAACTACGCGGCTCCAGCTTCATCTTATCAGTCCCAGTATCAGGTGAAATAATCACTTCGTCCTTCAGATAGTGAATGACGAACAATTAGGCTTTTTAGAACACTTGGAGCAATGGCGTCTCTGCTCAGTACCAGCTTCCGGCCTCACTGCCTATATCGCCGTCTTATCAGGTAAGTACACCTGCTTCTTGAAATCCATTTTATGTACTGGTTATTTTTTCACTACTGCCTCTTCTTGAAAGCCTAATTTGCGAAGAGTTGAATTTTGTTGTTGTTGCAACTTCCCCCTATCCTGTTGAAAATTGTCCTTATCAGTCACTAGCATGTTGATTATTTTCTTCAATTACTAAAGGCTCTACTTGATAAACTACTACTCGATGTCGCTTTAACAAGAGTGGAAATAGTGCAATGGCAAGTCGCTGCTTACGCGTGCGGCCCGGGGATCGAATCCTGAGTCACGCGTCGTCCGGAGGAAAGAAACACTGACTCCTACATCGGCTGGCCCCCGCAAGTCATTGTATAGGCCACATCGCATTCAAACGCCACTACGAATGTACAAATGGAAGTAGAATGCGTGCCGCATCCCAAAAAGGGATTGATCAACGGCAAATGCTTTATCCTTTTTATGCTTGCTCACGAAGTGTTTCCATTAACAAGTAGAGTAATCTCCACGTCGCATCTTTGAAACCTAGGCACTTGTTTCCGCCAAAAGCCACAGATCCCGCATCCCTACCTCTCCCCCCCCCCCGTGATATGAACTCACATTTCTATCGTTCATCATTTTGTTATTGAAGAAACTTCAAGGGATATACAGGATTATAAAGTGCATCTTATTTCATCCATATTGTCGAGAAATTCCCAGATGGACGGGCGAGCTGGCCCTGCGCACCTTGGTGAACTTAATGACCTAGTGCGCTCTGAATTTTCATGGTGGCCTTGCTTCCGGAACGTGAAGGCTCCAGTGGATAATGCAGAAGTTCGTATGGAAAACTCGTATTCCAATAGGTATTGGTGTTCAATGTCAATGTCAAGCCTCTTTCCAGACGATTTCATATCAGACTCCAGCCGTCAGCTACCAGACAGCTCAACCATCCTACCAGACTGTCAGCTACCAGACGGCTCAACCATCCTACCAGACGGTCAGCCCCGTATATACGCCCACTTATCAAACGGTGGAACCTGATTACCAGGTAGTGCAGCCCGTATATCAGACGGTAATACCGTCCCCGACGTCTAATTACATTGCCCCTCAACCAGAGACTCAATACACGAGTCCTGTACAGACTATTGAACCTGTGCAAACAATCAGCACCTCGGACTCGTACCGTGAAAGGTAATAAACCCAGGGAGATGCTGATTACCCGCAGTCATCATGATTATTTCAGTTTGAAAACTGGCGGCGAGTATCCGACGATAACGCCGACATCCGGGGAGGGCTCGGTAAGTCTTTTAGGGAACATTTGGTGGTGGAAATAACCGAGAATTAAGGCTTCAGTTACTTTTCAGCCAGACTCTTACAGTACGAGCGCTAATCTTCAGAGCATTGTTGGCACGTCATACGATGACTCTGCTCCGGCACTACCTCCACCGG